AAATAGAGAGCTCTCTAATTGAATTAAAGAGCTCTGCAATTGAGTTGTTACTAGTAAGAATTGAATTAGAGAGCTCTATAATTGAATTGTTACTAGTAAGAATGCAATTAGAGAGCTCTATAATTAAATTACAGAGCTCTTTAATTGTAATTGTTACTAGTAACAATTCAATTAGAGAGCTCTACAATCAAATTGTTACTAGTAAGAATTGAATTAGAGAGCTCTCTAATTGTAATTGTTACTAGTCATAATTGGATTAGAGAGCTCTCTAATGGAATTGTTACTAGTAACAATTGAATTAGAGAGCTCTCTAATGGTAATTCTTACTAGTAACAATTCAATTGTAGAGCTCTCTAATTGTAATTCTTACTAGTAACAATTCAATTAAAGAGCTCTGTAATTAAAAATGAATGGAAGTCAATGGAGACATATGACTAGTAAGAATTCATTTGTAGAGCTCTCTAATTGGAATTGTTACTAGTAAGAATTGAATTAGAGAGCTCTGCAATTGTAATTGTTACTAGTAATAACTGAATTAGAGAGCTCTCTAATTGTATTTTCACTAGTAAGAATTGAATTAGAGAGCTCTCTAATTGTAATTGCTACTAGTAAGAATTGAATTGTAGAGCTCTCTAATTGAATTAAAGAGCTCTGCAATTGCATTCTTACTAGTAAGAACTGAATTAGAGAGCTCTCTAAATCAGTTTTTACTAGTAATAATTGCATTAAAGAGCTCTCCTAATGTAATTCTTACTAGTAAAAACTGATTTAGAGAGCTCTCTAATTTAATTCTTACTAGTAAGAATGCAATTGCAGAGCTCTTTAATTGAATTAAAGAGCTCTGCAATTACATTCTTACTAGTAAGAATCGAATTAGAGAGCTCTCTAATCGCAATTGTTACTAGTAAGAATTGAATTAGAGAGCTCTCTAATTGTAATTGCTACTAGTACGAATTGAATTGTAAAGTTCTCTAATTAAATTTTTACTAGTAAAAATGAAATTACAACAAGTAAGGCTGGGTACAATTTAAGCTAAAACGGCTTGCCATACTGGCTGCCATTCAAAATCAATTCTTGATATCAAGAATTGATTTCTACTAGTTGAAATTCCAATTTCACATATCAGAAATACAATTCTTACTAGTAAAAACCACTGATCTATATAATGACTGGATAGCTCATGACGTTCTAAACTGCCACCAGGCAGTGAAGCCACCGGAAGTGTTCGAGCGGCCATCTTACGATTCCCTACCAGCAGAGGGCTCCAACGGCCGTTATACAGAGATAGGTAGCTCCGACGGCACTTTTAAGATGACCCGCTGCGCATCACCAAGTGTAAAACGAAGATCACCAAAGGATCTTGAAAAACTGCTCACAGGTTTTACTTTAAGCCCATATATAGTAATTTATATGCACAATTGTCGCTAATTCCGTGTTGTTTAAAAAAAAAAGTAAAGCCTACTATGCATTCTTTCACAGACGTATTCAAGTTTAAACCCAATAAACGTATTATTCAATGCATTACTTCTTATAAATTTAATTAAATGCATATATGTAATATTTTCATGTCAATCCGTGTTCAGTTTGACCACGAACCATGCGCTGTCACTTTAATTCAGCGCCTGCAGCACAAACGATCTCTGCACGCACCGCACAGGACGGGCATCCGCGTGCAGTGAAAGCTCCAACCTGTTGACGTGGGTATGGTAAAAAATATGCACTGCAAACGGGAGTAGGCCTATGTGTAAACCCCTTATTTACAGTGCACACATCTACGGCGCATTATGGCTCCGACAATGTTTTATTCCTACATTCACACGGTGTCAACTGACACCGGGAGCATTTCCACGTGATTTGCCGATTTGTGGGCGCGATCAGCTCCGGTAGCCGTGTCGCAGCTGTAAACGCGCCGCAGACGTGTGCAGTGTAAATAAGGGGTAAATAAGAGGTGAAACAGGTGTACATTAACCCATACAATTTGTATTATGCATTTCCTGGACATGTTCTTGCTAACTAATCAAATACTTGAGCAGACTACTGATCTATCTGTAAAACACAATCAGAAAGAGCTAAATTTTAAGTTCACAATTCACATATACTTCATTTTTAGTAAGCAGGAATAATTTCCGACTTTAAACAAATACCCATTTAAATGCTTAGGATGTTTGCGTTGTAAGACTGTTCAGGGAGACTTTAGATTTAAAGACGGTGTCACAGTCTCGTTATGCAATGTTTTCTCAGTCAAATCATACAATTTCCTATTGATTCAATAGAACGCGTGAGCTCACTAGGGAATCACAATATGGCGGCGCGGTGGCTTCACTGTTTATGACGTCATGAGCTATCCAGTCATTCTATATAGATCAGTGGTAAAAACCTTTATTTTTGATATCAAGAATTAAATAGTCACTAGTTGAAATGTCTATTCTTGATATCAACAATTGAATTGCTACTAGTAACAATGTTCATTTTTGATATCAATAATTCAATTTTCACTAGTGACAATGTTAATTTCTGATATCATGAATGTGATTGTTAGTAAGAAAGCCATTTTAGATATCTGAAATAATATTGATATCAGAAATACATTTTCAGATATCAAAAATGAAAATTTTTACTAGTAGCAATTCAGTTGTTGATATCAAGAATAGACATTTAGACTAGTGATAATTTAATTATTGATATCAGGAATTCGCATTTTTACTAGTAACAATGTAATTATTGATATCAAAAATTAAATTTCTACTAGTAGGAAATCAATTCTTGATATCAACAATTAATTTTGAATGGCAGTCTATGGTGACATTTCACTAGTGAAAATACAATTATTGATATCAAGAATTACATTTTTGATATCAATAATTCAATTGTTGATATCAAGAATTGAATTGTTGATATCAACAATTGAATTGTTGATATCAAAAATGTAATTGATATCAAAAATGTAATTGTTGATATCAAAAAATGTAATTGTTGATATCAAAAATGTAATTGTTGATATCAAGTATTCATATCCTGGAAATGAATAAAAGTTAAAACGGCTTGCCATACCAGCAGGCCAATAGGGCGTCTATGTATTTATTATGTCTATGATTGGTACCCCTTGATTGTCTCCGCATCTTGTTATCTCGTCTTGTTATCTTGCCATTATCCTTGTTACCTTTTCTGAATAGACCTGTGTTTGTCGATCGTTGTTAGGGATGGCCCGATACCGATACTGGCATCGGGCCGATACTGTCCTCATATACTCGTACTCATAAAAATTCGCCGATACCACGCACCGATACCACGTACATTTTGCAAAACGAAACTGGCCGCCGCGAGTGCTTTGTCGAGGTGAACTGAGGCATAGGAAAGTATAATGTCGGCGGTTTGGGCTCATTTCAAGATAAGGGATGATGACAATAGCAAGGCAGACTGTAAGTTATGTTAAGCTAAGGTGTCGAGAGGAGGGAAAGAAAGTAGGCTATATCGTTTAACACCAGCAATCTAATTAAACATCTGAAGACGCATCATAGATTTGATGCCCGAGCGCGCGCGGTAATGCACTCACTCTGTGTGTGCGGGAGAATAAAACGATTCGCGGGACTCCCGCAAACTAGAAATATCTATGAATAAAACATAAAAACTAATAGATTTTTATTCATCTCTTGCAGAAAAGCAACAAGAACAACTACAACAAAATATTAACGATTTACAGGCCAGTTTCTATTCATAACATGGTTACAGCGTTGAGCGATGTAGCCAATCACAGACATATGTGTTGATTTCTGGAACGCAATGGTGAATCAGAAGCATTTAAGATAGACTCCCCTCACCGCTCAAAACGGACTTTTTTGTTCAGTGCTGAATTCTGTATGCTGGCAAATCCTCTAATTATAACAAACAAATTGTGGATATTATGAAAGATGCATTGTGCAGTCAGCTTCATTGATAATAACAGAGATGTGTGAGATCGCGATGAACTGTCAGCTTTTAGGATTTATTAAGGGAGCGCACTTTGCGCGCATTCAGTCATGCCAAACCATGCACGCAGTAGCCTGCTTGCTTTTATGTTAAATTAACAGTGGTTTGTGTGTTAATTTATTATTTTACTAATTTTTATTTATTTTTAGACTTGTTAAAACAAGCAGAGAAGAAAATAAAAACAGTCTTCAGCTGTGTTCTAAAATAGTCGTCTTCTTTTCTGGGAGCCTACTTTTGCGGTAGAAATATCGGTATCGGTACTCGGTATTGGCAAGTACACAAATCTAAATACTCGTACTCGTATCGGTTTGAAAAAAAAAATGGTAGGCCTATCGGGCCATCCCTAATCGTTGTCTTAATAGGGAAGCTCACACTACACAACTTTTGGCTGGTTTTCGCTGTCCTAAACAGATTTTCAAGGTCTGCTGCTAAATCGGTGCTGGTTGAAGTCGCCGATGCTTGTTAAGTTTGAGCAGGTCGGCGAGTCTTAAGCATTCACAGATGCTGCAAAATCTTCAAACCTGTTTGATATTATCGCCATGTGATCTTGTAGCAGGGTTGCCAGGCCAGCTTAACATAATAGCCTAATGGCCAATCAAAAATAACCCAAAAGTAGCCCAAATGACCATATCCCAAATATCAAAACATGCCATTCACATACCTTATCACTTACCCATTCATACTTTACAGTCACTCTAAATGCAAAATGAAACCCATCGTAGCGATCATAAACACAGCTCAAAGGCTTATCACACATACATTTTATTTTTCAGACAATATTTTAAAAATATTAGAAGCATATTAATATTTTTTATAAAGAAACGATAATAGAAGATTTTGCAGAAATTATAATTAAGTTATTCTTTTAATTGTGATACCACAAATGTTTTCTCCTAAAAAAAAAAAATTTTTGAAAATCAAACATTAAAAATATGCTCATCAAAAAGATAAGCAATTGAATATGTACAGTATGAATAGCATTTCGTGAATTTAAAAAAAATGGATTAATAGATGTCATTGAGCCAGATACTTACTGCCATTTTGGCTGTCTTGCCTAAACAGTTCTGATCTTCTCAAAAAGGAGTTATACTTGAAGTCACTTATAGCCTTTATATAAACTGAATCAATCACATCATCCTCGTTTGTTGTATTCCCTCTTGGAATATATGTCTTTGAATTATAGTATCCAACTGTGATGTCATCCAAAGTTGTTATGGAACTAAATTCAGGAAATTGTGTTTTTCCACGAATGTAAGTTGAAAACAACCACAAAGAATGAGAACCTGAAAAACAAATTGATTATTGGTGATTACCATGGATTATTGTTTATTATTGATTATTTGATTCTTGATTTGATTCTTGATTGATTGATATCTACCATAGTAGGCTATGAGACTGTATACAATAAAACTTTTAAGCTTTATTTTATTTATTTTTAATTCAAAACAGAAGACTTGGAATCTTGGCAATGACTTATACTTTCATTCAGAATGAAAATGATACGAGTAGGGGAGAGCGGGGCACAACCTGACACTTTTTGACTTTCCAAGTTTGTATAATTCCACTTGGGGTTCAGATTTTTCTTTATTTTTACACATTAATTTCACACATGTATAGTACAAATATGTGGTCTTGTTTCATTAATATAGACTAGTGTATCTTTTTTTTTTTTTTTTTTTTTTTTTTTATGAAGGTAGAATGATGCCATTAAGAATCGCATGTGCAGGGTAAGATTTGTGAAGGTGTAAATCGCCTTTCAGGCTTAAGAAAAAATATTCGTAAGTGTAATTCATGTATTGTGAAACTGCCGCTTTATGCTAATGCAATTTAATTTTCGCTTACAATCTTATGTTCACTTTCATAAATCTTACCCTGCGCATGCGATTTTTTTTATGCCAAAATTTTACATTCATAAAATAAAGAAAATAGTATACACTGTATTAATGAAACAAGCTAAGTAGTGAAGACAACATGCCCATAGGGTACACAACATGAGGGGCACATTGTAACAACCATGACAGCTTAAAATGTTGTCTGGTCTAATAAAAAATATATATACTAGACAAACAAAAATATTTTTTAAATAAAATACAATTATTAACTTTTTCAAATAAAATAATGCCATTTTTTAATCATTAAAATAAACAACATTTGGAGTTTGACAATGAACACACTGCAAATACAGCTATAAAACATAGTACAAAACAATGTAAAAGCAAAATAGCAAAATAAATAGATGAAGCAAAAGCAAAATAGATGAAGAAATGCATTCAGAAAAATACAAAGCTGAACACAACACACCCCATCCACACACAGCTCTCATGGAAGTGCCCATTACGTGCCCCACCACCTCAACTGGGATTTATATCTGCTAATGATCTTTCTTGTTTTAGAAAAACTGAGATGAAAAAATAACTTTAGTAAGGAATTTACGTGCTATTAAATATTTGTTCTGCCATATCTTTGTTATGCATATTTGCATAATGCATATAGTGTTGAAATGGCAACAAGTAAATGGGTCACACAACGTTTTGTCATGCTAGCATGGAAACCTTAACCACCACATGTGTTCCAACCAGGGATGTAGTGGAGGCTAAACGCACGTAAACGCCGTTTACGCACCTCCCAATATTCGGAAATAGCGTTTACCCACCTCCAAAGTGCGTTTATCCACCTCTAAATAGCTATAAATTAAGCTTATGTCGTTTTAGTTTCATATTGTTAATTATTAGTTTCATAGGTTGTTAAACCTAAGACGAACTCTTTCATATTGCGCTGCATTACTGTCAGTGTTGTTGACTATTACCATACTGACGATGGTTGCGCTGTTGACGCTCGCGCGGCCTCTCGAGGAGAAATCTACACAAATGAGCGCACACACACACTCAGTTAACAACATACTGCCTATAAAAAATCTAAATGTGGAGTTTTTATATTTTTAACATATGTTAAGCAACCTCAATTATTTTTCCTGAACACCATCGCGATTGAAAATGTGACATTGATTTCCTACAACAGTTCAATAAACAGTTAAAATTAAGTCACTTCCATTTTAGATGCAATATTGGCTGTTTTTGTTCTGTTTCAGCAGCGAAAATAGTTCCAAACAAAAATCACAGCAGAACCACGGCGCATCTCACAACTCAACCTGTTTTCATTACTGAATGATTCAGCATTTTGAACGAATGATTGAGTCAAAGATTCAATGAGCCATTCATAAACAACTGTCTCAATCTTGAATGAATCAGCTGTTTGAACAAATCGTTTGAATGAATGAATCAATGACTCACTCATTAAGAGGGTCGCCTGCCACCTACTGGCGGTTTCGTGTTATGTTTAAAAGTAGATCATTCTTTCCAAGTTTCTTATTTGTAAATTTAAATCAATTTCATAACATTATTTTATGTAATTGTAATTTTTCAGAGTACATGATTTAATTTGATCAGCCCTATAGTGTCTTATTATTCGAAATAATTGAATTTATTGATCAAATTTAGGAATTTAAAATGAAAGATGAAGCATACATTTAATAATATTGGGGGAGGGGATGCCCTTTAAAGGTGCAAATATTACAATATGCCGATTTAAATATCAAAGATAATTGAACACTGATGAGAATATTGTTTCAGAATAAATTAACACACACACACACACACACACACACACACACACACACAAAAAAAAATCCGGACGAGAAACTTTTTTACTCATACAAGTGAATGACAGATTTACTTGTCCGAAGGACAAGCGTATGAAAAGGCTTAATGTCGAGCCCTGCCAATGTCATCAGGATACACATACACCGGTAGGCAGTGGCCCACCTTACCGGGTGACCACGTCATGGTCCCAGAATTTATAGTTTACCCACCTCTTTTTTTACCACTACACCTCTGGTTCCAACAAACCCCGTTTAGGTTGTGCCCCGCTCTAACACTCTATTAAGGCCAGGGAGGACATGCAGGCCTATGCGATAACCTTCATTAATCTTGAACTTATTAAAAGATTAGGTTTTAAAATTCTAATATTATTTAAAAACATAAACAACTTACCATCTGAAGCAGAAGGAAGTGAAAGTGCAAGTAAAAAAAAGACACACGATTGTGTCCATTTGCACTGCATGCTTTTAGTCTTAAAATATTTTGCAACAACGTAGGCTACCTGCAAAGGTGCTAAATAAGGAAATGACTGTTTCTTCTTCAGTGTAGTGTAGTCAGTGTAGATGTAGACGCTGCTGAGCGTATTACTGCCCTCCACAGGTCAAGGTTTAAACTAAATTCTTACAGTCCTGTGTCATGCAAGAACTGAAGAACCGACTTGGAGATCAGTTTATGCTCGTCACTGTGTCCAAACAAAGATAAAACAGAAAAAGCCTTAACTCCAAGTCCTGCCAGTTTAACAAAGAATATATTTCTTTCTGCCCTGTACTTTCTGCATTCTAGGAAAACATGCCATAGGCTACTGTCTCAAGACTCCCACATGCACACAAGCCAGAAATATGCTTTCCTACAATGCCTTATAATTCAACCTTTTTAAACTTAACATTTGTAGGAGATGTTGGAGGTAAAAGTACAAGTAACATGATAATTCTAACCATTTGCCCTGCATTCTTTCAGTCTCTCGTGTTTTAGAAAATGATGTAGGCTACATTTTTAAACTACCGGTATATCTCTCAATAAGTAACAACTTATACGTTGTTTATCGGGTGTTGCCACCAAATACGAAAGAAATGCCTGCATGCATAATTCATTTTCCACATTCCATTCTATTTGAGCGTTAAACCACACATGCGCTGTGGTTACCTGTCCGCACAACAAGCATATATGAAGTCATTATTCATAAGCTACAAACTCAACCAAAGTTGAAAGGCGATGCTACTGTTTTACAGTATTGTAGAACTTTATAGTGTGGATCGTCTCTGCTCTAGAGGAGGATAACATGAGCATGAAATTCAATATGTATACAAAAGAAAGATTAGTTTACCACATATAGGGCCCTAAGGCTCTTGGTAGAAATTATTATAAGATTATTTTTCATTCCATACAGGGATGTGCGGTAGCCTATGATAATTGTTTTGTTGTTCTGAAATAAAGTTTCACTCACAGTATTTGTTTTATTACAGAGCAAAATTTTATTTAATAAACAGTTAAAATTAAAGGCACACTGTGGAACTTTTCAACCTTTATAATATATTACCAAAACCCATTGAGATGGTACATCGACTTACAATAGGTTGAATGACACGTCTGCCGTAGCCTGAAGGTGTCTGTATCGCTTTTACTAGCACTATGTAACTTCGGGTTTCGGGTAGGAACCCGAGCACAAAAAGAACTACAAAATTCAACCGCTTTACGGCATACGTCACTTCCCCCACCACCCACAACTTCCTCAGATTCTGACGTGAGTGCTCAACCCGCGTTTGATTGCCGTCTGTATGTTTTCGTCATGGCCGAACCAACAGCTACAAGGAAGAAGGCAAAGGTTTTGTCAGAGGACACTAAAAAAAAGAAAAAGCATAGTGACAAATGAAAAGCCAGGACGAGGATCACCATTGGTCTAGCGTTCGCTCGCTGGCGTGAGCTACAGGAGGAGGGGTGCCCGACCGATGCTGACGCTTGCCTGCACACAAATGCCGTTTCCAAGGTGACCCAGATAAATCATATAAGTAGTGTAGTATTTTCTGGTATTCCAGACCACAGCCGATGGTATTATGAGTGTAATAAAATGCCCAAAGCCCATTGTTCATTTCTACACACAAACACAGCCCGCCACAGTGCAGGGCTCGCACAATAGTCGACTCATGTCAAATGTACATTAAATGTAGTGAACGTTCCCACAAACACTACACACAACATGTCCCACGGTTTCTGTAAAACGAAACCAACATACATAAGTTACAGTCAGCTCAGGCCGACGGTGTTTTTAGTGCAGTAAATGTGCCCGGCCCGCCGTCCCGCGCCCACATTCACTCACAGACATGTTAGCACTAACCCCCACGGGGCTCGCCCCGCTCGCTCTCTCTCAGCAGACTGCTATAAGGGAATCGAGCGCGGCAAGGCTGCCCGCCTCAAACACTGCACACAATCTAAAGACACAGGAGGCTGACCCACTGTCTATGGGCTGACCGGTTGACTGTTTGTTGACTTTTGCGACAGTGCTGCGGAGCTTGTGGCCTCTAGGGACGCTAGACGTGAAAGTTACAGGTGGAGCGCCACTAGTGGCCAAAAGTTCCGCGGTGTGCCTTTAACTGGATAAACAGTTTTTTTGGTAACACTTTACAATACGGGTGCACTAATAAGCATTAATTCATAACTAATGCACAGATAATCATGAGTTAATGTATAACTCATGAAGAACTAAACCATTAATTAATTATTGCATCAGCAACTAATAAAGAGTATATGATTAATAGATTAAGTAATAAATGAATTGCTATTAATTAAACGGGTCATCATGTATTAATTCCTTAATAACATATTTTATTAACTAATAGTGTAAATGAATGTGTTAATTACCACAATTAGTCAACGCTATGCACTTCAACTTCCAGTTGTCTGCTTTAATTAATCATTAGTTAATGATTTGCAAAGATATCATTATGTTATGACTTTACTTGTTGAGGCACATGAGTCATGACTATTAACTAATTGTTACGCCTATATTGGCACATTGTAACAGATTTATGTGCACGGGACCACCACCACCTCAACTGGGATTTATATCTGGCTAATGTCTCCTGCTTGTTAGCGACGCATTAAAGTAACACTATGTAGTTTTTCAACCTTCATAATATATTTCCAAGACCCTTGTGATGGTACATCGACTTAAAATAAGTTAAATGACACGTCTGCCATAGCCTGGCGTGGTCTGTATCGCTTTTACTGGCACTATGTAACTTCGGGTTTCGGGTAGGAACCCGTGCACAAAAAGAACTACAAAATTCGACTGCTTTACGGCATACGTCACTTCCCCCACCACTTCCTCAAATTGTCTGTGGCCATTGCAGACATCCCAAGTCTCCCGGGAGTCTCCTGCGTCTCCCTGATGCCCGCAAATTAGTTCAGATCTGCCGGAATCTAGAGCGTGCATGCGAGACAGAACATACTGCGCGCATAACATACATAGCGCGAGCACGGCAGAGAGAGAGAGAGCAAGAGACCTTGCGAGTGTGCCTCACGAAAGCTAGTCAACCGCTAAACTGGCACGGCACATCCGGTAGCTAGTTCAATCGATAAAAGATTGTTTTTTAGTTAGCCAAAACTTTAGCAAAATGTCAAATAACGTTAACACCGTAAATGTTTTAAATTGGGAGCACGGAGAAAACTTCGTAAGACGATCAGTTGGTCTCACATTGTCTCATCCATCGTCATTGTTAACGTGGCCAGTTCTAACTAGAATACTTAATTCATTTAAGTTTTAAAGGGAATCTACAGAGCTTACATAGGTTTAATAATAAATGACTGACAGGTAAAATCTGGTCACATTGTAAAGGTTTATAAAAATAACTTAATAACAGGTCAAATCTGGTCACATTGTAAAGGTTTATAAAAATAACTTCATAACAGGTCAAATCTGATCACATTGTAAAGGTTTATAAAAATAACTTCATAACTGGGCACATTGTAAAGGTTTGTAAAAATAACTTCATAACAGGTAAAATCTGGTCACATTGTAAAGGTTTGTAAAACATAACTTCGTAACAGGTAAAATCTTGTCACATTGTAAAGGTTTGTAAAAATAACTTCATAACAGGTCAAATCTGCTCACATTGTAAAGGTTTATAAAAATTACTTCATAACAGGTCAAATCTGGTCACATTGTAAAGGTTTATAAAAATAACTTCATAACTGGGCACATTGTAAAGGTTTGTAAAAATAACTTCATAACAGGTAAAATCTGGTCACATTGTACAGGTTTACAAGAAGGACAAGTTTCACCTTCCTTTCATAGAGGAGATCAGTAATGGTGAAGCCTCTGTCTGCCATTACTTCATCGCCTGGACGAAGTTATTAAGTGCACGATATTGAAGAAAAATGCGATATGTGATAACTAATTAAACAATGCGATATTCGATATGCGACACGATTATGTTTAAAATGTATAAAATTAACTTAAATTAGATTTACAATTATATAACCTACATACATGTTTCACTTTTTTTTTTTTTGTGACAAGAAAACATCCCTACAACTTGTGAAAGTGAAGACCAGTGTTTTACTGTAGCATAAGAAGTGTTATTTTAACATCAGTGTAAACCACGGGGTTCAGGTTATCTTACATTAGGTCTATTTAACAACAGAAACTGAATAATCAAATGTAAAAATAAAACACTGCTTAGTTTTCACTGTATGAATTAAATTTATATATATATATATATATATATAGGCTATATATATATATACACTGATTCTTATTAAAGCTAAAAAAGTTATGCATATTGCGATATATTCATTTGTTATATTTTGATATATTGTGCAGCCCTACATGTTGTGTTTGGAAACACTTCTCCATGATGTCAAGCCAACGCGAAATCACCTTGCTTACAATGGAATGAGAAACACCAAACCTTACAGCAAGATCACCCTGCAATAAATTAAGACGCAGCTTCATCAGAGTCATTAGGAGCTGATCTCAAGTGTGTAGCTGAAAGCTGTTGGTGTATGAACTGGTAAGGTGCTCGGCAACTGAATGGAATGAATCTAATGTCGACCCGCTGACAAAGGTGGTCGTTTCTCAGCAGAGTTATGTACTATAGCACTGGCTCAACGCATTGTGTTCCCATTTCAGATGTAGGTGGCTTCAGGTTGAGTTGAGATATTGAAGCGTAGTTGTGGCCAGAGACAGATGGATCCTCCCATTGTGTTTCTGCATCACAGGTCTGGGGCATGTGGCTGTGATCCTCCTCACAGTTGTCCACTGCAACACTGACGCTCATTGATGATCTAAGGAAATATTATAACCATAAACATTTTTACATTAGTAACAGTTACTTAAAATAGATAATGAGAATTAATTTATGATGGCATTCATACTTAGAACAGTGTGAAAAAGAGAGATGCATTAAAAACGAGACAGTATACACACAATCTCCTAACTCGCCGTAGGTCAATATCAATATCTGAATGAAAGATGTAGCTAGCTGGCCTCCTTACAGGAATAATGT